CCGTGTCCCAGCAGTCCTGCAGCTCCACGAGCTCGACGGCCTCCGCGATCCTCTGGCGCGCACGCCTCCAGGAGGTCCACAGGTGGCGGCCGAGCGCCCCCGACAGGGGGGGGGCGGCAGCGGCGCAGGGTGCCTTGGGCACGCGCTGCCACGGGACGCCATCCTCCGCCGGGATCGTCACGTCCCCCGCCCTGTGTCGGCAGGGGGGCATCTTCACGCATGCGGAATATTCCGCTCACACGCGCCAATTCTGGGTCCAGGATGGGACCGGCCAGGAACGGTGCGTGTGCACGTGCAGAGTTCTCGCGTCACCGCGCAGATCGTCTGCAGCGCACTTGATGAAAAGGGCCCAGCAATCTGATCTACGAACAGGGCTAGTTATTGAGAAATGGTAGAAGTTTGGGGGCACCAGCAGAAAACAACATTGTTGGTGCCTCTGCTGGGGTGTCCGGGGCTCGGCGGATCCCGACCTCAGAGCCGCGGCCTCAAAAAATGTTGCTTAACCTGCGTACTACTTCAACCAACCTAAACACACTGCGCCTGCTTCGGCCGGCCTGCGCGATCGGCCAGCCGGTTTCGCCAGTGTGGAGAATCAGCGAATGGTACCAGAAGAAATTGAGGAGGGGGTAGAGCTCTCCCTTCAAAAGGCGCTCCATGAACGATCGGAGTGGAGAAACGGGCGGATGTGGCGCAAGCCCGTTCAATCCACGTCTGGAAGGAACGTGTTGCCGAAGGCAGGTCCGCAGATGCTGCAATGCAACGCTATCCAGTGTCCAATCAGACTTATCACCACATCCGTAAACCCATAGATAGCGGGCCCTTCTGGGGTTCAAGATCGTAAAGAAAACATGAGGTCAACTGGGCCTCTTGGGGTCCAAGAGGGCCTGATGACGACTCAAGATGGTCTCCAAGACGGCCCCAAGATGGCCCAAGATGGCCCCAAAAGGGCCCAAGAGGCCGCCAAGACGGCTCAAGAGGCCCCCAGGGCGGCCCAAGAGGACCCCAAGAGAACCACAAGACGGCCCAGAAGGGCCCCAAAACAAAGAGGCCTCCCAAGACGGCTCAAGAGACCCCGGAAACGGCCCAAGATGACCCCAAAAGAGCCAGAAGGAAGCCCCGCGAAGCACCCAAGACGGCCTCCGAAGGTGCCAGACGGTGCCTGAGCGCTCTAACACAGCCCACGAGCTCCAAAAAGGCCCCAGGGGACCCAAAGAGACCCCCAGAGTGCCCCAAGCAGCCTCTAAGAAGCCACCAAGAAGGCACTCAAGCGGCCCCAAGAAACCACCAAGAGGCCCGCGGAATTGTATACGTTTGGCGCGCGGTTGCTATACTCATCGCCATTTGACCATAGAGTTGCCTTGTGCTGACACGCTGTGAATACTCATTGCCCTCGTGGACATTCGCACGCTCGTGTTGGGCTTCAACGGGGGGTGGCGCATCCGCCCCCCGTGGCGCTGGAGGGGCCCCGGGGCGGACAGAACGACACGGCAGAACTTCGCGGCAGACGAGCAGCGCAACCACCCAACACCCAGTCTTTACGTGCGAACGTGCACCCCGCGAAGCGAAACAAACGGACGTCCAAAGGTGACGTGTTGCCAGAGGCAGGTGGGCGAACGCCGTAATGCAACTAAAGAAACCAAAAACAATGAGTTTGCAGTGGAGGTCAATTGATTTTCGCGTTCTCGCCTTTTTCGGCTCTCGGGGTCCCATGACGGCCCAAGCAGCACCCAAGACGGCCCCAAGACGGCCCAAGAGGCCCCCAAGAGGGCCTCAAGACTGCCCAGGAGGGCCCCAAGATGGCTCAGGCCCCCCCAAAACGGCCGCCATGACGGCCCAAGAGGACCCCAAGAGAGCCAGAAGGAGGCCCCGAGCGGCCCCCCCAGACGGCCTCCAAAGGGGCCAGACGGCGCAAGCGCCCCAATACGGCCCACGAGCCCCCAAAAGGCCCCAGGGGGCCTCACAGAGGCCCAAAGAGGCCCCCAGGGGCCTGAAGAGACCTCCAAGAAGCCACCAAGAAGACCCCAACCGAACGGCCCCAAGAAACCACCAAGAGGCCCGCGGAATTGTTCACGAATTGCGCGCTGTTGCTATGCTGATCATTGCCGTGTGCTGACACGCGGTGAGTGCTCATTGACCTCGTGGACTTTCGCACGCTCGTCCTGGCGCAGAAACGGGAAGGGGCGCATCCGCCCCCCGTGGCGCTGGCAGCGACCAGGGGCGGGCAGAACGACACGGCAGAACTTCGCGGCAGACGAGCAGCGCAAACATCCGACGCCCAGTCCTTACGTGCTCAGAACGTGCACACCGCGAAACGAAGAGGAATCCACGTCCAGAGGCGTCGTGATGAGCGGCAGCGCTTTCCGCGAAGGCTACAATGCAACGTATCCATTGTATCCCATGACTGCATAATTGCTACACGTTTGAATATCTTACGTTATCGAATTGCCCCCATTCTACCCCCCAAGGGCTACGCCACATCCGCCGACCAAAGGTGCTCATCCCCCTTCTGGTGGTTAGAAGCCTGAAAGACCCGATCCGATCGAAAATCATTGAATTGGGCCTCGTTGACTTTCTGTGGGCCCAAGAGGGCCTCAAGACAGCTCCAGATGGCCTCAAGGCGGGCCACGACGGCCCCAAGACGGCCCTAGATGGCCCCAAGAGGGCGCACGAGGCCCCCAAGACGGCCCCAGAGGACCCCAAGGGGGCTCCCAAGAACACCTGCACAGGCCAAATTCATTGATTTTCCAATGGGTTTCAATGGATGTTCGCGTTCTCGCCATTTTGGACCCTGCGCCCAAGATGCCCCAAGACTGCCCCAGAGGCCCCAGAGGGCTCAAGACGGCCCAACAGGGCCCCATGATGGCCTAGAGTGGCCCCCAAGGATGGCTCAAGAGGCCTCCAAGAAGGCCCAAGACGACGCCCTGAGAGGCCCCAAAGAGGCCCCAAAGAGGCCACCAAGAGGCCCCCAAGAGGCCCCCAAGAAACCTGCTAGAGGCCCTCAAGAAGAAGCCCTTAAGCGGCCCCGAGAAACAACCAAGAGGCCCGAGAAATTGTAAACGGACGGCGCGTTGTTGCTGTGCTTATCGGGATTTGAACTAGGCGTGGCCGTGTGCTGACACAAGGTAGAAGAACATTGCCCTCGTGGACTTTCGCACGCTCGTGCCGGCGTTGAAACGATGGGGGGGAGCGCGCATCCGCCGCCCCCCGTGTCGCTGGCAGCGCCCCGGGGCGGGCAGAACGACACGGCAGAATAGCGCGGCGGACGAGCAAAACGAACCACCCGACGCCCAGTCTTCACGTGCTCCGGACGTGAAGCCTGCGAAGCGAGAGGAATCCACGTCCTAAGGTGACATGTTGCCGGAAGCAGGTCGGGCGAACGCCGTAATGCAACGCATCCAACGCATCCCGTTACAGCACGAAACATGACCCCCACTGGAAGTCGCGCCACCTCCGTCGACGGCTCTCAACCAAGCCTTTCTGAACATCAGAGCGTAAACCATGCATGTAAAATTGGCCTCTTGGTGGGTCCAAGGCCTCAATAAGGCTCGCGATGGCCTCAAGACGTCTCAAGGTGGACCGAAGACTGCCCAACAGGCCCCCAAGATGGCCACGGACGGCCCCAGGAGGATCCCCAAGACAGCCTCCGGAAGCCAAGAGGGGGGGGAGGAGGAAAGGGGAGGAGGGAAGGGGAGGAGGGGAGGGGAGCTGGGAAGGGAAGGAGGAGGAGGAGGAGGAGGAGGAGGAGGAGGAGGAAGAGGAGCTGGAACATTGGACGCCCTCAGGTTTTTGCGGAGTTTTAGCGGTGTCGCCTTCTTGAACTCTCGGGGGAGGCCCCCAAGAGGGCCTCCAGACGGCGCAAGAAGGCACCCAGATGGCCCCAGGAGGCCCCCAAGACTGTCCAGCAGGCCCCCAAGACGGCCCGAGAGGGCCCCAAGGGAGTCCCACGGCGGCCCCGAGAGGCTCCCGAGACGGCCTCCGAAGGGGCCAGACGACGCAAAAGCGCCCCCCTAAACTGCCCAAGACGCCCCAAAGAGGCTCCAAGAGGCCCCACGGAGGTCCCCAACAAAAGGCAACAGCAAACCTCCAAGAGACCTCCGAGGCCCCACAACGACTGGACCGCAAGCCCTTGCGGGGAGCCGACGACTACGTTTCCCTGAGGGATAGAAGGCGGTGCAGCATGGCCTATGGTTTAACGGGGGAGGGCGGGACACGTTCCACTAGATCAAGACGAACTCATGTCAGAAGGCTCACTGCACGGCTGAGCCACCGAGCCGAGCGGCTCCGAGAGGCCCAAAATACGGACTCCGACGCGGTCCTACGAGGTCCCAAAGAGGCCCCAAGTGGCCCCCAAGTGGCTTCCAAAAGGCCCCCAAGAAGCTCCCAAAAGGCCCCACAACGACTTCACCGTACGTGCTCCGGACGTGCATCCCCGCGAAGCGAGAGGATTAGGAGACGCTGGCCGGCGTACTCTCCGAATATACGATTGCAGGTCGAGGTAGCAATAAGAAATCCGAGAGCCGACAAGCGTGTACGCGCGAATGCCTGCGCAGACGACAGGGACAGCGGAGACTGTGTCTGCCTCATGAGGGCCGCAGGGCAAAGCAGAAGAGGAGCATGACGACGACTGCTCGGGAGTGACAGGGATACACGTATTACAGCGACCTCGAGTGGACACGATCAAGTTGTCGCATTGCTGCCCATGAGCTAGCATGCTGTCGTGCTTTGGTAACTTGAGGCGGCACGTTTCACCACCAAGGGAACGCTTAGTACAATCAGCGGGCAAGTCTGGGAAAATGATATGCGTAAGCGCCAAAACCTAAAAACAGGCCTGCCTGGGGATAGGATAGCAACTTGGTGTGACACGAAAAGAAACATGGATGTCCAAGCCGACAACGAAGAACTGCAGGCGAATAGAACATGGTAACAATACAAATTTGCGCAGGAAGCGGCCTGGGCGTTGGCATTGGCCGTTGCCCCTCCCGTTTCCTTGGAGGCGCCTCTTAGCAAGGATAATTCTCCATGATCTTCCACACGGAGAACCCGACGTACACCAGCCAAAGAGACACCAGCATGGCCGAGGTTAATAACTGCACGTTCTTCGGGCCGCCAAGCTCCCCGCCGTACACCCTGCGCCTACCGTACAGGATGGTGAGGCAACACACCGCACATATACAGAAAACGATGACGCTGAAACCCAGGTTCCCTCCGATCACCACGAACTTCCCGCGGCCCTCGGTGAAATCCTGATACTGCTCGCGCCAAGCCGGCGAGCGGCCTGTGCCGCGCCAATAGATCGCACCGATCGTCCACGTCAGCCCCAAGCCCAGGAACACGTTTACCGAGTTGCTGCCCGTCACGTTGCCGATCGATGCATCCGCGGTTGGATCCTGCACCGCTGCAGTCCTCGATGCAAAGGTATCAGGCAGTGACGTCCCGAGCGCCACAAACGTTATCGCGGTGATTGCGTCGGGCATGTCTAGTACGCAGCCGAGCAACGAGGCGATGTCGTTGATGAGTGCGGTCACCAGCGCGATCATGCCCAGCGCAACCAGGAAGCAGAGCCAGCCGTCGCAGTAGTCAGAGGGCGGGACCAACGCGAAGAGCAACTTCCAGGGAACAATTACGATGTGCACTAGCCAATCAGTCCAGTGCGTCACGGCCATGCCGTCCCCGCCATTCACCAATAACGCATTGACAAACTGGTCCCTGTAATTCGAATATCCGATGCGCATGTTGTCCATATTGACGAGGTGGGAGATCACCTTCTCCAGCATCTCCTTCTCAACCTCGTCTGGGCGAATCATGATGGTGAGAATGTTCTGGGTTTCGCCGCCGTCGGTGTTGGGGTCAAACGTGACCCCGCCCTTGGGGTCTGTCAAGTACAAGCGAAACTTCTCCTGCCTTTCGTAACGCCCTCTCGGCAAGATCGTCAGCTCAATATCAGCAGAAACCTGGGAGTTCTTCAACTCCAACTCTCCCTCAACGTGGACGTAGTCCAGGCCCTGCACAGCGCTGTCCTGCTCGGTGAAGTATCTGCAGGAAACGTCGCCGCAGCTGCCACTCTTCCTGAACACCTTCACCGTCAGGTGGACATCCTCCGTGCCCTCAGTCACGGACACGGTGTCCGACTCAAAATACAACATACCGACCTCGTCGTCATCGATGATGGTAATCTTGCAAGTCGAATTGACGCCCAACCTCGCCTCTGTCAACTCCTCCGGCTCCGCTTTCTGTGTCTCCAGCAGTTGGCTGCCAGATCCGGTGAAGCGGTCCCTGTTGATCAAAAGCATCGGGCTGCTGAGCTCCAGGAAGAAGTACTCGTCAACCTCGTAAGCCTTGTCGTCAACAATTTGGACTCTAATCTGTTTTCGAGTATCACCGGGCCCAAACTCCAGGACACCCTCGACGGGAATGTAATCCTCACCGGCGGATGCAGTACCGTCTCTCGACTTGTAGTGCACCTGCAGCGCAGCCTGAAGGCATCCGCGCCTGACCACGGCAACGTCAAGCTTGTCCACGCTCTCGAGCACTGCGTAATGCCCTGCGACGAACTCAACCTTCGCCAGGGACGTGGACTCGGCAATGCTGCCACTACTCCTCAAACTCTTGGCGCTGAAAGTCTCCATATACGGCGGCTCTTCCTCACCCAAAGGGATCACGGACCGCATGGACCGCATGTCCCGGCTGGACCAAGACTTGCTGGACGTGGTGGACGCATCATACATGCCGCTCTCCCGCACCCGTGACACCCGATGCCCAGAGAACATGTTCCTGGTAGCCTCCACGCGGTAGGTCGCCCGGGTCTTGGTCATATTCTCTGCGCGTGAGCAAATAAGCCGTGCCATCTGCTCGTCTGAGATCTCCAGGCCGGAGTGCACCTGCCTCACCTCCATCTGGAGAGCGGCCAACTCCTCCTTCGACAGATCCGTGACGCCCACCTGTCGTGGCCGTTGTCGAGGCAGAAGCGTGTGAAAGAACAGCGCGAGGTAGCCCTTGTCCGCCGCGAAGGCAAGCCCGACGAGCACCGGGAGAAGGAGGAGCGTAGTGACGCCTTCCAGGATCGTGACCTCGTTCGGAGAGCTGACGGACACGACAAACAGCAGCCACAGGTAAGCAAAGACTGAGAACGTCGCCGTCACGAAGAATACGCCGGTGTCCTCGATTTTCCGTACGTGATTGTGAGGAAGCGCCGACACGCAGACAGCGCTAATGCAGAACATGTTGAACGCTGCACTGCCAACGATAGTTGACGGCCCAAGGTCACCGCTCAAGAAATCCCTCGAGAGCAACTCGATTACGCTAAGGAGTATCTCAGGGCACGAAGAGCCGATTGCCATCAGCGTGAGGTTCGCCACCGTGTCGTTCCAGATGAAGACCGTATGCATTTGTCCTGTGGCGGGGTTGATCGCCTGCTTCTTCTTCGACGTGATCGTCTCGATGGCGGCCATGAAAATGTCCGAGATGATGGCCACTCCCGCGAACAGCCACAGCAGCCCGGCGCCGTACAAAGCGATGCGAACCCCCTTGGGCCAGTCGTGCTCGTAAGACATCGGCAGGAAGGTGCCCTCACCACCAGGGTCGCAGATTCTTCCCGTGCACGAGGCGTCCTCCTTCATGGTCCTCTAGCAAGACCGGGCGGCTGCCTCAGCTGCAGCACTGCATATTGAACGCAATCAGACCTAGCATCAGGAAGCTGCAGGAAACTCGCTCAGGCCTTGAGCTAAAATGGCCACGGAGCACACTGGAACAGCGACGATGACAAAAGCGAGACTGACAGAAACCCGAACTGGCCGATTCTCGAGCACGTCGCAGGAGTGGAAAAAACGCCCTGACCAGAGGTAAGCGAACCTCTAGAGCGGAAGTCGGAGACTCGGCTCTGAGGGCCGCAGGAGCCTCTAGGACTGAGAGGCAACGACAGGGTAGGAAGGCGCCAACTATACACCAACACCGATCCTGGCCAGGATCACCCTGGGCCCAGGATCGGTGTATACGCCCTCCTGCCTTGCGCAAGAAGGCATATACACCGATCCTGGGCCCAGGGTGATCCTGGGCCAGGATCGGTGTTGGTGTATAGTTGGTGCCCTCCGACAGGGGTGTCAGCTCAGACTATCCCATCTGTTTATGTTGCCATTGCGCACCTGAAGCGTCAACAGCAAAGACAACTCAATTGCCTTGCGGCGAAGCAGTCGACACGCCAAACGCGGGCCAACCGCTTGAGGACGCACGCAATCGATCATCTGAAGTAAGACAGCATTTAACACAACTTGGCACTTTGCTCGATTCACTACAAGCAAACCTGAATGGTACTGGCGCCTGCACATCTCGACATTACGCGTTCTAATATTTGTCGTCGTAAAGCCCCGCGTGCTCAAGCCCTCGGTGGGGGCGGCACTCTGCATAACCAACCTCATGTTTGTGATGGCAGTCTTTCGCTGCTGGCACCCAAAACACTACGTCCATCCTTCAACGGCCTCGGACTCCATGCAAGGGCCGTCAACCATAGTGAGACTGTCGTAATCTGTGGAGCTCACAATCTTGGACATGGTGACGAGAGAACATGTGGTCCCAAAACGTGTCCAGATTCTGAACCGCCCGAATAAAGTCGCAAACCCACAGGGTGCCCCTACTCACTTGAGTTGCGAGTTCGAGGGGCAATGAAAAACTGGATCAGAGTGCTTACGAGGTGCAAGAACAAATTTGTCGTTCAGGCCACCATGGCAACAGCAGTCTTGAACCACGAGCTGTTCTCGCACGACGACCATCATAGGTTTTATGTGACTATATGTCCCATGATGATCTCTGCGCGCTATGAAGTCACCGTACTTACAACCATGTGGCTCCTCACGCTCCTTTGAATCCGTTGACCGAAATGGGCTATAATTCGCCGCATTATGATACGTTGTGGAAGCATAGATACCCAAATTTGTGAGGATGGTAAATTGAAGTACGAACCAGCCTGGTAGAATGGTCTGAACGTCGCTGCAACATCGGATTTTGCAGGAAACTCCTGCCCACACGTTGGATCTTCTAGGCCTGGATTGTCGTAAAGGTCGAATCAACATCCGCAACACTAAAACTATGAATTGGCTTGTGCACAGATGCCATAAAATGGAACAAGTGGTCCATCTTCGACTTAGTCTCCGCACGGGAAAGCTGACCGACAATGCATACAGCCACCTCTTGGCATCCTTGCCTGGCTGTCCAGCACTGTTGCGGGCGGTGTCTGATCCGAGGTGGCCCCACTTCAACATCTGGATATACATGGGACGTCGTGGTGCTGCCATCTTCGCTTATATGTGGCAGATCCCACTCCATAGCGAGGCGGCAAAATAAAACCTGCAACTGTACAAATACAACGCGCACACACGCGCGTGTGTCCTTGTGCGTCTGCACTGTACGGGGCGGCGTGTTTCAATCAAGCACTCACAATGCAACTACGTAATACAGTTTGCAATAAGATTGCTTTGAGCCAAACTTGCTACGACCCGGAGCCTATCACATCAATGATTGTCGTCGTGTGAACTTCGGGTCATAACTCGGCCCTGGGGCGGCCATTCGGAACGATCCGTGCACCCAAGGAAGTCTCTCGGCGAGGCGCAGCTGATGAAGCGAGTCCCGCGGCTGGTAAGCCGACGAAGACACACGAAAACGCCCGAAAACCTCGAACCTCGAGCCATGTAACTAGCTCCTCCCTTACATTGCCCCCGAAATGAGTCGCTTTTCCCTGCCTTGCCGCCGCGAGCTGTTAGCAGCTGCGCTCCGGGTTGGCCCGCCGCGCTCGGCCGCGGACGACCTCGGACGAGCGAACACCAAACACCCATGCCCACAGAGCGGACGGAGGGGGAGGAGGAGGAGGAGGAGGAGGAGGAGGAGGAGGAGGAGGGGAGGAGGAGGAGGGAGGGGGAGGAGGAGAGGGAGGAGGAGGAGGGGAGGAGGAGGAGGAGGGAGGAGGAGGAGGAGGAGGGGGGTCTCCGCTCGAGCGGGAGCCTCCCCCGGGTCCGACAACCCGCACTCGACTCAATACTCCCTCCCACCCTCTTCTGGGTATGGGTGTGTATGTGCGTTGTTTCGCTCGTCGCCGCCGCCGCGGCGCGTTGGCCGCGGCGCCGAGAGGCGCTGCCGCGCTCGGCGGGGCGGCGGGCAGGCTCCCGCTGGGCGCGGCGAAGGCGTACGCCGCCTGCCGCCCGCCGGGCCCGACAGCCCCCAGACAGCCCCTGAGCAGGGGGACGTACAAGTGGGGTGCAAGAGGGGGCGGATGAAGGCAAATATGGTAGTCCCCAGACGTGGTGGTGACAATACCTGTTGGTGAGTCTCGGGCGATTTGGTGTCACTACCCGGTTTGGGGACTCGTGCGGTTTTCCGAGGATGTCCCGGACACTGGTGGGTCCAGGAGTCACAAAACTCGGTGGTGACCCCGCGTCCCCAAACCCAGCGGTGACCTTTTTGGGGATTCCAGGTCGCCACCTGGTATCTCACCACCCGGTTTGGGGGTTCCCAACAAATCCATTCCAAATCGGTCTCCAGACCCATCCCGGGACCCTTCTCGCGCAAGTTTCCACACCGGATCCGCTTCTGCCGGTCCCACAGAGGAAGCCCGCGCGCGGCCCCCGCGGAGACCGAACGAGGCGAAACACCCTCTCGAGCCCCAAAATGGAAACCTTTTCCCCACTTCCTTGAAGGGGCCCACAAACACACAAATAAATACATACAAATAAAAAGATGCCCCATATTTTCCTACATTTTCTGGGTTTTTGTCTTCCCCCCCACTTCCCATATTTTCCCATATTTTCTGCGGAAATCGACGATTCATTGTGTCTGTGTGTTTCTTTCCCTCCTGATTCCTGCTGGCCTGAGCCAGTGCTGGGCCACCTCGGACCCCCAGCCAGCTCCACGAGGGAAGTCTGGAGCTTTCCAGCTTTCCCCCCTGGGCTGGCCCCTCGTCCCGACAGTCGGTGTCTGACAGTCCCTGGGGGCCAGGCGACCTGGCCCACAGAGGCAGAGGATGGCCAGCGCGCGCGCGCGATCTGCGGCGCCGCTGCCGCCGTCCAGCGGGGGCGGCCCTGCCCCGGCGCGGAGCGCGACTGGGACGCCTGGCCTGCAGCGCGCTGCCAAGCTAGGGGGCCACATGCGAACCCCCCTACCCCCCACGATTTCGGAGGGGGATGGTGGGGTTCACTTCGTTCGGGAGCTCCCGAGCGAAGTGAACCCCACCCTCCCCCTCCGAAATCGTGGGGGGTAGGGGCCCTAGGGGCTGGGTAGGGTTCGCATGTGGCCCCTTACAAGCTCACCCGCGGGCGATGAACGACTCCCACCACGCGGTGTCGGACGGGGCACCGGCGCCCGCGCCGGCAGTGGGCGGTCCCGCGGCCAGCGCCTGCTGGAGGGGGTCCGCCGCCTCGGCCGGAGGTCGGGGGGCGGCGCAGGCGGGGGGTCGCAAAGTCCGGTCTCCTGCACTATTTTTGGCCTCCCATGGGGCCCTCGCCCACCGAGGCAGGCCGCGAGCCGCTGGGGGGACGAGGGCGCAAGCCACGCGGCAGCCCGAGTGCTGCTGCAGAGCTATGGGGCCAGGAAACGCTGTAAGGGGTCGGGGGGACGAATGCGGGCGGTAGCACTGACCTTCGGTGGATCTCCCTATAGGGCCACGAAGCGCTGCACTGGGTGAGGGGGACGCGTGCGGGCGGTGGCGCTGGGGCCTTCGGTGAAGCTCCGTATTGGGCCGCGAAAAGCTGTACTGAGTGGGGGGGGGCATGCGGGCAGTAGCACTGGGGCCTTCGGTGGAGCTCCCTATGGGGCCATGAAGCGCTGGACTGGGCGGGGGGACGCATGCGGGCGGTAGCACTGGAGCCGTCGGTGTAGCTCCCTATGGGGCCACGAAGCGCTGTACTAGGTGGGGGGGACGCATGCGGGCGGTGGCACTGGGGCCATCGGTGTAGCTCCGTATGGGGCCACGAAACGCTGTACTGGGTGGGTGAAACGCAGGGAGGAGGGAGGAGGGGGAGCAGGAGGGAGAGGGAGGAGGAAGAAAGGAAGGAGGAGAACGCGGGGACCGTCTCTTCAAAACGAGGACCCAACACCACACGATGGTTGGGAATCATGACGCCGGGGGTCTGAGAACGGTGCAGCGACGGACCGGGCGGCGGTCCCGGAATCCCCCACGACCCCGCCGGGCGCTCTGTCACCACGCCCCAGCCGCCCGAGACATCCTCGGAGAGCAACCGGAGTGCCAACACCGCGCAGACGCCCCGAAGCCCCACGGACTGTCACTGGCTCACCCCGGGGGGGCCCGACACGAGGCGGCGGGGTGGCGGCGGCGGCGGCGGTGCCCGCACAGGCGCGGGGCGTGCCCACGCGATAGAGCCGGGCCGGCGGGGAGCGGGACCGAGTGCGCATCCGGGGCGGGCGGCGCGTGGGGCCCACAAGGCGGCGAGGAGGAGAGCGCGGGGCGGGCTCGAGTCGTGACGACCCGGGCGCTGGTTCCCGGCACCGCGTGGGGCGTTCCACCTCCAGCGATCGGGGGCCTCTCGATCGCCAGGTCGTTCCATATCCGCCACGTGCCTCGAGGCATGAAGTAGAGGGTTCCCCAGGCTTCTAGAGTCCTCTGCAATGTGCACTCGGTATTATTGAAATGCGCTGACCCTGTCGGCGTGTGCGAGGCATTTCCGTTTGAGGAGTCCTTCTCGTCGTCATCGTCGTCGTCGTCGCCGCCGCTCCCCCTGTCCCTCTCCGCAGGCCCTCCTCATCAAACGTCATACCCGCAAGGACCGGCCTCAGTGCTTCGATGCGGGGCCACAGAAGTCCCTTCCGCTTCTCCGGGGTTTTTTGTCAGCCGAGATGCGGCCCTGGGGCCCTGACGGGCCTCGGAGGCTGACGCTGGCGAACAACCTGCCCTGGCCTTCCCGAGATGATGGAGGCCTGGGTCCTCCTCCTTCGCCCTCGCCTTCGCCTCCTCCTCCTCCTCCTCCTCCTCCTCCTCCGCCTCCGCCTGAGAAATGAAAGCAGGGGGGTGCCTTTGCCCCAGCTGCTGTTTAAAACAGCGGGTAGCCTTGTTCGAACCTTGGGAAGCCCCCGGGCCGCAGGAGGCCCGGGCGCGAAGCGGGAAAAGGGCCGGTGGACCACAGGACTGGACCAGAGCTAATTAGATCGGCTGTCCATCACCACCAGGAGGGGGGGACCACCGCCACCACCTCCTCCTCTTCCTCCTCTGGACCTCCCGCGCGCCCACCCCCCCAATCGAGCAATCGCCATCGAGTCGAAGGGAAGCGCCTTCCCAATTGATCCCATCCCCGCGGGGTCCCGGGAGGGTACCGAAGTGGATGTCGGAGAGGGTCCCAGGGGGGGGTCCCGCGTTGGGTCCTAAGGGTTGTGACCCCCCCCGTTGGGGGCGCACCCCTCCCTGGGAGAAGCTTTCCCCTTCGATCCCTTGCCTCCCACACGCCTCGGGCACCGGCAGCAAGGCCTTCACAATACGCATTCGACTTCAGGGCAGGAAGCCCCAAATCCCAAATCTTCTGGGCGCTCGCGCGCGCTCTGCTTCCTCGCATGACTTTCCCGAAGGCCCGAGGGCCCCTACGATGGGCCAAGAGGGCCCAAGAGGTCCCAAGACGGCCCAAGATTGTCCCGAGTCCTCCAAGTATCGCTCCAAGACGCCCAAACCCACAGACGGCCCAAGAGGCCTCCAAGGCACTCCAAAAGGACTCCAAGAGGCCCCCCAAGAGGGCCCCGAGACGCCACAATCAATAAAACTGTCCCTGGGGTTTTGAAAGATTTTAGTGCTCTCGCCTTCTCGAGCTTTCGACGCTCCAAGACGGCCCAAGAGGCACCCAAGATCGCCCACGACGGCACAGTGGTCCCCAATGGCGCCCCCGGATGGCCCAAGATGGCCCCAAGACGGCCCGAGAGGCCTCCAAGACGGCCAAATAGGGCCCCAAGGGTGGCCCAAGCGAGGCCCCAGCGAAATAACACGAACAGGCATTTCGAGCTCGCCGCCGCGTCGAAACAACGCAGAGCTGCCGCAGCGGGTAGCAGAAAAACGGGGTGCCCAGCGGACTAGGCACGAGAAACCACCTTTCAATCCTATCACACGTTCCGTTTGATGCCCAATCCCATCTCGCACACTGATCTCCGCTCGGCTGTCTTCGCTGCTATGCGCTCTGATCGTATGTGTTCGTCGGCTTCTCCTCCCGCTGAGAGGAGGGCGAGGAGGGAGAGAGAGGGCGGTGAAAGAAACTTCCGTCGTGATCCTGGCCACTACGCCTAGGAGTCTGGGACACTTGAGGGAACTCAGGGCGCAAAACCACGCGTGCTGGAGTGAATGCTCGACGCCACAGGGGGCGAATGCCACCTCGCCAGCGGTTTCCTCCCACGGAGGAGCGAAGGCGAACTGAGAAAACGAGAACTCCCAGCCGACAGGGCCTGGAACGGGCCCCCTTGCGCGTGCGGCGCCCGCGCCTGCTGCGGCGGCCACTGCGCCCTCGGGTGCGGCTGCGGCTGCGGCTGCTGCTGCTGCTGCTGCTGCTGCTGCTGCTGCTCGTGCTGCTGGCGCGCCTGGCGGCCATCCGCCGGCTGCGGCGGGCTCGGCAGCGCGCGCCCGCTGGAGCGCTGCGGCCCCAACGCCGGCCGCTGCCCCGCTGGGGCCGACGGCGCCGCGGCGCGCGACAGGCTCTGCGGGGCTGGCAGCTGCTGCAAGGCGAGGCTCGGGGCGAGCCCTGGGGCTGCCGCGCCGTGCTCCGGCGGCGGCGGCGGGGCGGGGCCCTGGCCGCGCCCCGGGCCCGCGGCACAGTCTTGCCACGGGCCCAGTCCAGCAGGCCGGATGCTGTCCGCCAGGCCCGGCCCGCCGGGCGGCTGCCCGGGCAGCGCGCCAGACCGCCCGTGGAGGTCCTGGGCGGGGCCCTTCGCGGCCGCCGCGGGCCCCGGGAGCTCCGCCCCCTGCAGCTTCACGGCGATCGAAAGGGACCCGGTGTGCTCTCTGCCGCGATCCTTCAGCTTCGTGAGGGGCACGGTCAGTTGCCGCTGCCCGGCGCCCATGCCCTCCGACCAGAGCGCGTCGAGGTCGAGGCCGCCCTCGCCGCAGAGCACGGCCTTGCGGAGCAGGTGCTCCACCATGACCCTGAACTTCAGCTGCCTGCTGCCCCCGTCCGAGGCGCGCCCGCAGACGAACTTCTCGTTCCACCGCGGCCGCAGGTTGCCTCTGTGGCAGACCTCTGTGCGCCCCACCACTTTCTCGGAGCCATCTCTGTACACGCACACCAGCTGCACGAACACATCCTGGTGCGGGTTGAGGCTGTCGAAGATCCGCACCAGGCTGGCCTCGGAAACCAGAATATTCAGCTGCCCCTCCAAGGCCATGCCGTGCTTGCGGCTTGGGCCAAATGCCACGAAGATGACCTCCCAAACGCCCGCACCTTTCCAAACGCGATCCTGGCGAAAACGGCGACCGCACGGCAGCGACGCCGAAGGAGGCTCGGCGTCTCTGGTACGAGAAAACTCTTATCAACCGATCGCGCCAGGCAGCGCACGAGATTAGGCCCTATTCGCGACCACAGGGTCCGCTAAATTCTGGGGTGGTGGGGGGCAAGAGGAGGATGAGAGACTGACACCCACAGTTTCGCGTGAAGCGGGAGGAGGATGCAGGAGGGAGAAGGAGTGATGCATATTCGTGCCTCACTCGGGTGGGCAGAGGGGCGTGTGAAGGCCAACCAAAGCACGACAGGACGCCTTGCTGGAGTCTCCAGGATCTGCCCCAGAACAGGTCAGCCAAGCCGAAGCTACGCGCTCATCGAGCTCCTGCCTGTCAGGAGAGCATCCACGGGTCCCCAGGTTAAGCGCTGCGAGAGCCACTGTTTGCCAGGAGCTCGTCCGCGGCGTTAGGAGGAATCCAGGCCCACCAGGCGCCCACGCTTGGCGATTCGTCGCTGCTGGGAACTATCAGCAGGTCCATCCTGGAAAGCCTCAACGGCCTTCTCGACGCTTCTTTCTCGGGCCTCCCATGTCTTAAAGCTCTCTTCGGCCGCATTGAAAGCCTCTCCTTGCATATTTTTTGTCCACCACAACCACCCTTTTGATTTGCAATGCGAAGTAATCAATCCGCATCACCGGCCCGTCTGGAAAACGTAAGTTCACAACATTCGCCGAGTATTTGTGGCTGTTTGCCACGCCGTTGCAACTCCATGAATCTTGGCATCATCCTAACTTCCAGCGCAAGAGAGAAGCATCTTGAGTGCGGCGTGATGTTTGTAAAACCGATGTCTTGCAAGAATCAAACTTCGGCTACCCCACATCCAAGACCAGCACGTGAGGAAATGACGACGCCATCTTCACAACCTTGTTGCGGTCGAAGCCCGCCGCCTCTGACAAGGCAATGCGGCTCTCCGCGCTATAGCCCAGCAAGTGGGGAAAGGACAACGCCAACTTCACAACATGTTTGCGGTCGAAGCCCGCCGCCGCTAGCAAGGCAATACGGCTCTCCACATCATAAGCCAACACTTGAGGACAGAACACTGTCACCTTTAACGCATTCTTGCGGTCGAAGCCAGCCGTCTCCAGCGAAGCAATGCAATGCGGCTCTCCACATCGTAACCCAACAATTGAGATTGGGACGACGCCATCTTGACCGTTGCCTTCCGGTCGAAGCCCGCCGCCTCTGGCAAAGCAAGGTGGCTCGCCACATCAAATCCGAACACGTGAGGAAAAGACGAGAGCATCTTCACAAAATTGTTGCGGTCGAACACCCGCCGCCTCTAACAAGGCAATGCGGCTCTGCACATAATAGCCCAACAATTGAGCGCGGAACGGTAGCATCAACACCGTGTTGCGGTCGAAGCCCGCCGTCTCTGGCAAGGTGATGTGGCTTCCCACATCATAGCCCAACACTTGAGGAATCAACAATACCATCGACACCGTGTTGCGGTCGAAGCCCGTCGCCTCTAGCAAGGAAATGTGGCTTCCCACATCATCGCCCAGCACTTGAGGAAAGGACGACGCCATCTTCACCACTGCCTTGCGTTCGAAACCAGCCGTTTCGAGCAAGACCATGCGTTCTTCCCGATGTATCGTCTTGCATCCTCTCGGACCTTTACTATCGTAATGCATCGCCTTGGACGCCGGCTGATGGACACAAGCGTTGGTGGAGGGCCTCTTGACGCCAGCCACATGGATCGAATGCTGACGGCCGGACGCCAAAACTTTCATGCAGCAAAAAAGCACGTGCGAAGTAGGCCCATGACTCCAGCATGGGTTCTCTGTGGACCTTTATCCAGGCAATTTGAACCAGGACGGCTTGAGCGATAATGGCTTGAGCCACATGGTGCACAACACATGGTGTTGCAATCATATAGTCGCACCTTTCCACAAGCACCACCACCACCACCACTGAGCCGAGCATCCAGAAGGACGCGTGAGCAGAAGAGTGCGCGATTGGCAACATGTCTGGAAATAGCCCGAACACCGTCGCACCTCTACATGTCTAAATCGTCTGTGAGACCCTTATGAAGCCCCTGCGGTC